CCATAACCTCAATAAGAGTAAAATAAATAAATGGGCCCATAATAATTAAAATTTCATAATCTTCTCGTAGAGAATTCCTAGTCAAACAAAACACTTGAATAACATCGACACGTGATTTTATTCCTAGCAATGTCATCCAAACATAACCTAAAGTTTAGCATTGAAGAAAAATTGTTGGTTGAGAAATGGGAAATTCTCAATTACAATGAGATAAATAAAAAGGACAAATATATGTTGTAGTCCTTAAAGTATGTTTACTATGTTTCTTTAGTCCTTCAAATTTCAATTTTGCCAATTTCATTTATAAAATTTTCAATCCAAGTCAAATTGGTCTAATTTCAAATGGTCCTCTAAATAATTAACCAAATAATTATAAAATACACAAAATTTCCCTAAAGTATGCATTATGTGTCATTTTGGTCCCAAATTTCAATTTTATTAGTTTCACAGCTAAACACTATAAGACCATGCTTCATCTTCATCATATATATTATATGCATATGGACCAAAGGGACAAAACTAAAAACTGAAGAAAAAGGTGATACAGAGTGCACATATTTTAGAAAACCACTAGTATAGTTTACTACTATTGTGTAAACGAATTAGACAGTACATTTGAAATTAGACCAATTTTGACTCATTTGAAATGGGTTATGTCTATTCTAATTTTATTTTCTAATTTGCAGTGGGAGTGTGAGTTGATGACATTTTTATTTGGAGTAAACTGTAACTTAGTTATAAGAGATACTTACCTAAGCCTTTTGCTGTTGAGGTGGAGGAGGTCCTCTTGATCATCAATTCCAGGACTTCCACTGGATCTTTCTGCTGCATCATAGTCATTGTCATTAAGGTCGTTTCGTCTTCTCTTTGATGTAGTAGCACTACTAGCAACTTGTACTCCTGCTGATCTGTCCAAGTCTCCATGGAACACACCCATGTTGTTGTTATCTTCAGAGTTGTGTATACTCAATGCTTGTTGTTTATTTACCTGGGAGAGAGATTCCAAAGACAGGGTGCTTTCAATGCTTGTATCAATGCTTGTGTATACTCAATGCTTGTTGTTTATTTACCTGGGAGAGAGATTCCAAAGACAGGGTGCTTTCAATGCTTGTGTCAATGCTTGTGTATACTCAATGCTTGTTGTTTATTTACCTGGGAGAGAGATTCCAAAGACAGGGTGCTTTCAATGCTTGTGTCAATGCTTGTGTATACTCAATGCTTGTTGTTTATTTACCTGGGAGAGAGATTCCAAAGACAGGGTGCTTTCAATGCTTGTGTCAATGCTTGTGTATACTCAATGCTTGTTGTTTATTTACCTGGGAGAGAGATTCCAAAGACAGGGTGCTTTCAATGCTTGTGTCAATGCTTGTGTATACTCAATGCTTGTTGTTTATTTACCTGGGAGAGAGATTCCAAAGACAGGGTGCTTTCAATGCTTGTGTCAATGCTTGTGTATACTCAATGCTTGTTGTTTATTTACCTGGGAGAGAGATTCCAAAGACAGGGTGCTTTCAATGCTTGTGTCAATGCTTGTGTATACTCAATGCTTGTTGTTTATTTACCTGGGAGAGAGATTCCAAAGACAGGGTGCTTTCAATGCTTGTGTCAATGCTTGTGTATACTCAATGCTTGTTGTTTATTTACCTGGGAGAGAGATTCCAAAGACAGGGTGCTTTCAATGCTTGTGTCAATGCTTGTGTATACTCAATGCTTGTTGTTTATTTACCTGGGAGAGAGATTCCAAAGACAGGGTGCTTTCAATGCTTGTGTCAATGCTTGTGTATACTCAATGCTTGTTGTTTATTTACCTGGGAGAGAGATTCCAAAGACAGGGTGCTTTCAATGCTTGTGTCAATGCTTGTGTATACTCAATGCTTGTTGTTTATTTACCTGGGAGAGAGATTCCAAAGACAGGGTGCTTTCAATGCTTGTGTCAATGCTTGTGTATACTCAATGCTTGTGTATTTTCTATTCAAAAGATCTTCATTCATTGACAGGGTGCTTTCAACCACAGTCTGTTTCAAACTGCATAAAGATGGTAGGGAACAATATAAATCATCACATGGACACATGATCTCTAAGAAAGCTTAAATGGTGACCTTAAAGAGAATTTTACCTAAGGGTTCATATTATTTGGTATCAGAGCTAGCCACCACGTTGAGTCTGGGATCAGACACAACCTACGCAAGTATGGGATCACATGGGTTGCTACTCAGTGGTCGAGTCACGAATGGAGCAACCTGTGCAGGGTTGTAACTTCTAAGAGATAGGGTCACCTAGCTGGGAATAATGGGCCACTAGGACGTCGGTTGCCTCTTGAGCATCCTCCTCTTGCATGCCTCTTTTCAAAGGTGAGTTCTACCCAAGAGGTTTGTAGACTTATCTAGATGGAATTAGAAACAATAATGGACTCATCAGATGTAGAACATAATATAATGGGATTAATCAATTTTCATAAGATGCACATACACTTACCAATTTTTAATGTAAAACAGCTGCAAGATATTTCATAAAATAATTGACAGCATGGTTGACCCAAATAACATCCTAAAGCAGTCCTAAGCAGATTATTAATTTTGATACTAACCACGTAGCCATCAACCGTCCATTGGAGAATGTTGAAGGTAGCTGTCACATTACCATTTGGATCCAAGGGGTCATAGCAATCTGCGAATCAGAGAAGTAATATGATTTTTAACAAACAGTTCTTCACCCAAAAAGCAAAAATCAAAAAATGAAAAAAAAAAAGCAGCAAAAGAAAAGTAGGATGCCTGAAAAACTGCACAGGGAAGCTAATAATATCAATATCAGTGCAAAATGGCATACACAATAATTGATTAGAAGATATCCCAGCTTTTCTTAAAACCACAAACTTCAAAGTAAAGTTAAATTCAAACTGAGTTAATTTGAAAAAGAATGGTTTTCACACAACTGAAGCAACAGAAGATGTCATTTTGGGGGGAGAGAGAGAGAGAGAAAGCGTACAATCCTCCACATCCTTCAACTGATAATAGTGAGGAGCTATTTCCACCAACCATTCAGGTTTTAATTCAGTAACCTGTAACTCAACTTCTCAAATTAGTCTCTAATGGACAAAGTATAACTCCTGCAGAACCATTGCGTAACGGAACTTTATACTATCTGCGAAATTTGAGAAAGGGGTACAAAAACAAAATTGATGTTTACCTGCCGCATGTACTCATTGGTTGTCAGAACCAATTCATAGTAAACAACCCATCTTGGGAGCACCTACCAAGGGAAAGAAAGAAACTATAAGTTTCATGCAAAATCACGACTCTTCCATTTCATCGGTCATACTTTCCAATATTCAATACCACATGCATGCATGGCTCCCTCTATGGATGAAAGAGTGCGTACATACATGCATACATGACATCTTGGACAATAAAATTCGCATTGTGCATATACATAAGTTTTGTTTTATCTATTTGTAGATTATAAGTACATTATTTTTCTTATAAGAGAATAGTTATAATAGGATTGAAGAAGCTTTTCGTGCTTGAGAGGTCCCAGAAACCACATTGTCCGCGATGGGAGATACGATATTAATATGCCTAAATCGTCTACCAAATCAGCATTTTGAAAGAAGACTCAAGCAACCACTTTAAACATCAAATCTAGAAGTCTATCAAAAAAAAAAAATGTCAATTTGTCATACATTAGCAAATTTTACTAATTCAATTAACCATTTAATGAATGCCATACAATGATAAAAGACTAGGAACAAGTCCCTCTTGCCATATGGTCACACCAAATAGGCAAAAGGAAACACAAACATTTTTTGTGTGTGTGTGTTAGAACCGTGTCCATTTCATCTAAGGAGGGAAAAAAGCACAAAAATGAGGTTTGAGATTTATATCCACATAGGGGAAACAACTGGCATGGAATCAAATATTCCAATGCAAACACAAAACTTATTGAAACCAATCTGAATGCAGAAAAGAAATTTGAATATATCCTGATTCTTGTTTGATGACTTCACAGATGAAAAATAAGTACTTTTATCCTCACAATAAGAATTAGTGTGAAAAATTCTAGAAGTAATGTTCTTATGGAGTGAAATAAAATAATCAGGCCTCTAGGTGACATCATGGGTACCTTCCTTTAAGTAGGTCAACCTTATGACTTTTATCTAATCTAAGTTTGGAAGAAAGCTATGCAACTAGTATCTATGAAGATCAACATAAACTGGAAAGTTTTTAAGTTCTATCATCACTTAGCAGAATCTATCCCAATTGCTCAAGGTTGGAAAATTTATAAAAATAGTAATCCAAATAAGTAATATATACAAGCCATTGCATTTACCACATATACAATGCAATAGATTTGGGGTCAGAACCTCTCATCATTATCAATAACACCAATTAATGACAAATACATGTCTTACCTGTGCTAAACCAGAGGTGGGGTGAATATGAACAGTCTGGGGATGCTTAACTGCCTTATAAAATCCACTCTTCTGTAGCCTCGTAGAATGAGGGAAATAGCCTGAAGATTAATATAGAAAAAGAAAATGAATGAATGAAACTTAACATGATGGAGATGACAACGATTCATGATGACTATGTAGTCCAACTTCTAGTCATCAGAAGCAAAGATTTGTTATATCTTCACCTGCTGTTATAGCCTTCTTTATTCCTTCTAGATCATTGGAGTTTGATGTCAGTTCAATTTCAACCGTCTCCAATAGCCCCTCCAATTGAGCGCGTATGTCTCTTGCATGCTTCATACTCCGAACCTGAGAAGTGAAGCCCACAAACATATGTAAGTATCTAGCACACATATCTACAAAAACCAAAATCAAGGAAGATTTAAGAAGAGATAAGAACATGCAAGTCGATATGCTGTTCAACAATAAACTATAAACTATAGTGTTTATCAGGTGCATCAACAAAAAAAAATATCAGGTGCATCAACAATAAACTATAGTGTTTGTCACCCCCATACGATGTAAATTTGCAGTAAGCGACTTGAGTCTTGACTCCTTCATCTCATTTGCATAAATTATACCTAGTAACCATTGCATTAGATAACAGGGAGGAAAGAGACATGGGATTCATATAGATACTAGGGCAAGGAGAAAAAAAATCATCAAGGACTTTGCCCATAGACAATTTGTGTGTTGGCAACTTTTTGAGTGCAAAAAAATGGTTATACATACATCAGCAGAATAAACATTATACACCAACTTGTCTGACATCAGAATAAATGAAGATTTGTATTTAAACTAAATTTTAAGAAAGTAAATGACCGCCATTTCGGTTGAAAATTCCTCTAAGTTGCTCAATAGACAGTGTCACAAACTCATGCATATATTCACTTGAGTATGCTCAACCCAACAAGTTGTGAGTAAGCCATAACAACAATATGAATTAATTGAACGCGTAAGTGCAATTGAAATAACAGAGTCAAGATGGAAATCACTACACACCACTGTTTTTCATAAGAGCAGCAACGTAGGTTGTTTTACCACTAGGAGCAGCCCTGCAATAAATTATAAATTGCAATTAAGAGGGAGAATGCAGATAGAAAGAAGCAGTGAAGATAACACATGAGACGTGGACATGGATACCACATATAATCCTATTCCTTTGATTGCATAAATGTCCATGACTAGTGTGTGAGACTGAATACATCAATCAACTCTACCATGTCTCATACAAAGAAGTGAACATGAAAAAGGCAAGATATTAGTGTCCCTAAAGTGAGCTTTCTTTACACTGTTTTGTCTCAGATTGTATCAAAGGTTAAATTATGCTACAAATTCATAATATAAGAATTGTGCAATGGAATCACAAGCTAACTACAGCAATTTTCAAGGCTGGACGTATGTAAGGATGCTTTGGTTACTTACCTTACCCGTCAACAAAAACAACATTAACATGAAGAAGAGAAAGAGGAAAACAAAAGACAACATTTAAAGTATAATAAAACAAAAGAAAAGAAAGAATGAGAAACTTAGCCATTAAACTTGCTCAAATAAAAATAAGAAACTAAAAACACAGGATAATGCAAAAAAATTCAGATAGATAGCAAGCAGATATTTCTGTGTGAAAGGGTTCAGTTACTTACGCCATATCAACAATCCTTTCCTTCTCTTGAGGAGCAAGGGCCATCACAGGCAAAAAAGAGCTTGCACTTTGCAACTGTAAGCAAACTTACTATGAGCACTAAGCAAACCACATAAAACCCAAAACAATATATATATATATATATATTTTTTTTTTTTTTCTTTTCTCTCATGCACATACTAAAATAAAAATATGGTTTTTTAAGTGGGAATGGCACACCCACGCATGAAGAATCCAGGAACTAACAATTAGTGGTTAACTGATATGTCATTAATTAAACCTCCTTAGGGATGAACTGTTTTGCAAATATGAAACGAGAAAAGCAAAAGAAGAGATGCTAAAATCATTTTACAAAGAAAATTATCCCTTAGTCATTAGAAGCAGAACACCAGGTTATGGAATCATTTCTTTTGAAAACGACATAAACAAAATGTTGGTGCTTGCATAAATATTTAATAAGTATGCAGTAATTCACATTCAGACGTCAATGTTTTGAATCCTTATAGGATTCAAAGGCAATGTAGTGAGAAACCCCCAAAAGGCAGTCATATTCCACCAACACAAGAATAACTTATAATATATGGCTACATAACAATTTCAAATTGCTTGAGCCATGAATAAAAATGTAGAATCTGAGGAGAAAAGTAGGCACAACATATAGAATTGAGATATTTATGGTTATAAAATATTACCTTTGGCAGCACCAATTTTCCATGAACTAATAAGCTAATTCAACAACGCATCATTCTCTATCCCTTGAGAACCAGAAACAAGACCTTCATCTTGTTTGGTTAGCATGTTCTGCAATGCATGGCCAAACTCATGGAAGACAGTCTCAACCTAATTATAGCAATCAATCAATGTGAAGATCATGAAACCAAAATGGAAAATTCTGCAGAACAGTTGCAGCTTATATGACTCCTCAGAAAATTGCAAACCTTCCAGTGATCAAATAAATAGATATAATCATATAGATATTAAAAAATAATAGTAATATCTATCTCAGTTATTAAACCCAATCCTTAAAACATTCTCTAAAATCAGAAATAGTAACCAATACTTCCACATGAATTGGCATTTATACAACTTAAATTTATTCAAGTTCTGCTCCATTTGGAGAAGTACACACAGAAGTATAATCCATCAATTTTTTGTAGAACACTTGAATATGAGCATTTGAATTAAAAAATTATATAAATAAATAAATAAAAAGGCATACCTGAGAAAGTGTGGATGAATCAGATTCCATAGAGGCAATTTTTCTTTATTTTTCCAAAACAACCAAATTAATAAACTAGGTAGAAACAATCATCAACCGTTCTAAGTCAACACTGCCATTCTCGGTCAAACAGTTAACTAATGAACATTAAAGAACAAAAAATCTTCAGTAGAATTTGAAATCAACAAG